ATACTGGGCAAGAAAATGTCTGATTGTGAAGATTCTCGTCAACCACTTACTCGACTAAGTGAAAGAAATGAAAAGAAACATTGTGAGAAACGAGTATGCGCACGCCTCAGAGGTTACTTTCACTCAGAATAATTCAACTTGTGAACAGATGAATAGCAAACATAAATAAAAATGTTAAACTATACATAGACAGGATGTAGAGAAACTGACAGCCACGATGTTTTTGCGCTGTGGAGCAGAGCAGGTGGAGAGCTGGTAGTTCTTGTTGTGCTCTGCTGAGCAGACTGAAGCTGCAGAGAGCTGCAGTCAGTGACAGCAGAAGCTTTGAGAAGCACAGAATTATAATGCTCAGGTATTTCTTTGTATCTGTAATGATGTTGTTTTAGCTGAGCCAGAGAAGTGAGCTGAGCGGTTTAAAGAGCAGTGTGACCATCACACTAATGAACTCCTCTTATTCAGCAGTGTGCTCCAACAGTTTCTGCTGCAGCGTAAAACAGACACTCTGTTATGATTTAAAGAAAGTCAGGCAACTTAGTAGAGCTCCCATTTTTGTGGTCTAAAGTTGTGTCCTACAAAATTACTGTTTACTGATAAATCTGTTTCACTCTCATCTAGTAATGCCAATGACTAGGCAGTCAGTGACATGCAGTCCTCTGATGTCACACTTTTGGATCGTCTCAGACTGCTCGCAACCCCAGCTGAGTAGGTACTTAAAAAACAAAGTAACTGGTACTAACACCTAATGGAACATGCTACAAACTGAGTCTAGAAGTCGATCTACGCAGAAGTTAACTGTGTAGTAGTTTAGTCTCTCTCTACAGCCTCCATTTGTGCTGCACAGCTTTAATACTGTCCACTTTTGTAACAGATTCCATAAAGCCAGCATCTCACCCAAGATAGCAAACCAACCAGTAGGACTAGTAAGACTCGACAAGACTGGACAAGTCAAGCTGAAACTTCATTCCAGCGTTTCTACAGACAAAGCAACACAGTGGCATGCTGATCAAACACGATTATGTGTTTGTTTGGATGAGGATAAAGTAAGTGTCCCTTTAGATACAGTTCAAAGCTTAATGCTGAATCCATTCATCTAGGAAGATACAAATTACTATGACGATTA